AGATGGAAGATGTGAATCTGCTGTTCCCTCAGTCGGTCTCAGTTCCCACGTGCCTCTCATAGTGTGAGCATCTCACAGTGCTGAGTGTGATTCTAGTGTTAAAAGATACGTATTTTTCATACAACATGGCCCCTAAACACAAGCCAACTACTTCATCTGGTGCTCAACCGAAAAAAACAGTGATCTGTTCCAACGCTGGAGGAAAACCTGGCTGTGTTGGACTTATTGAGAGATGGTATCTCGATCTCCAATGTGGCGCGTAAATATGGCCGCAAGGTATCTAGCATCCGTGCCATCAAGATTCAAGAGAGAGAAATTCGTCGAGCCGTGGCATCAAGTGCTCCAATAACTGCTAAGGTGATGAGCTAGATGCGTGACTTTAGTGAAGACTGAAAATGCATTAAACTTATGACTGGAGGACAGGAACCATAAACGTGTGCCTATCGATGGCAACATGTTGCGAGAAAAGGCTCTTAGCCTCTATGTGCTGTTCAAACCTCCTGCCAAAGAGGGACAGCCTTCTGATGAGAAGGAATTCAAAGTCAGCCAAGGTTGGCTTAACAGTTTTAGGAACTGCTTCAACCTCAAAAATGTCTAGACTACTGGTGAAGCTGCATCTGCCAATGAAGAGGCAGCAAAAGCCTACCCCGAACAATTAAGGGCTATCTTCCGGAACAAGTTTTTAATGCTGACGAGACTGGGCTCTTCTGGAAAAAATTGCCCAACCGCACTTACATTTCGAAATCAGAAAGACAAGCAGCTAAAGACCGTGTGACTGTGTTGTTTTGTGGCAATGCGGCTGGGCATTTAATAAAGCCAGGCTTGCTCTACAGGGCTGCAAATCCCCGTGCCCTAAAAGGCAAGAACAAAAATCTCCTGCCTGTGTTCTGGCAATCAAATAAAAAGGCTTGGGTGATGGTAGCATTATTTCTGGATTGGTTCCACAAGTGTTTCATTCCGGAGGTCAAGCAGTACCTCAAAGAGAAAGGACTTGACTTTAAAGTGTTGCTGATCGTAGACCTCCTGGCCACCCTGCGGCACTCCGGTTTGCACACAATGACATTGAAGTAGTCTTTCTCCCCCCCAATACCACCTCCATTCTCCAACCTCTCGACCAAGGCATGATTCGCTGTTTCAAGGTCACGTACATGAGGCTTACGTTCTCATGGATACATAGCACTATGGATGCTGATTCCAATCTTAATGTGATGGAGTGTTGGAAGTCCTTCAACGTTGCCGATTGCATCACTTATATTAAACAGGCAATGGATGCAATCAAACCTGAAACAGTCAATGCATGTTGGCAAAACCTATGGAAAGAATGTGTGAATGATTTTAAGGGTTTCCCGACCATTGACAAAGAAGTGAAATGCATTGTTCAAGTGGCCAGGCAAGTGGGTGGTGATGGCTTCGTCGACATCCTTAAGGAGGAATTTGAAGAATTAATTGAGGGCCATAGAGAAACATTGACTAATTGAGAGCCATAGAGAACCATTGACTAACGAAGAGTTAGAGGAACTGATAAAATCATCTACAGAAGACGAAGATGATGATGACGAATAGGAAGAGGCAGCAAGTTGGAATCTTCATAAATTTGCTGAAGTGTTTCAAGCAGTGAAACACCTGAATGATTTAATTTCTGAATATGATCACTCTATGGAACGAAGCCTCAAAATCACACATAGTATTACGGACGATTTGAGACTGTATCAAGAAATGTTTGAGCAGCTCAAGAGACAACAGCGACAGTTGCCGATCACCATGTTTTTCAAGGAAAAACAACCAGCAGCAGATGAGCCTACGCAATCAACTTCTCAACCTGAACCAGAGCCAACCACTTCATCTACGACTCGCTCTCCATCACCCAAACTCTCCGTCACCTCTGTCTCCTGGATTGACATCAAGCCCTGACGACCCCCTGTAATTACCCCCTGTAATTAAAAATACAGTACTGTAAGATTATATTTTGCATATGTACTCTTTATTATATACTGTACATTACTGTATACATTATACATTTATACATATTACTGTACAGGGTTGTATACACAAAACCATGTACAGTATACTGTACTTTATGGGCAATTTAAGGGTAATTTTGACTCTACGTGATTTTTGCCTTACGCGCTGACTTTAGAACCTAACCCCTGCGTAAGATGTGACTCCACTGTATTTGCTAATTGTCTCTTCAGTGTGGCAAAGAAAGGTATAATCCAATCCAATGTCTAGTTCAGGCTAGACAAATTGAGACTGGAAATAAGGCATACATTTTTAACAGTGAGGGTAATTAACCATTAGAACAGTTTACCAAGGGTTGTGGTAGATTTCTCCATCACTGGCATCTTTTAAATCAAGATTAGATGTTTTACTAACAGATCTGCTCTAGAAATTATTTTGGGGAAGTTCTGTGGCCTGTGTTATACAGGAGGTCAGATTAGATGATCACAATACTCCCTTCTAGCCTTGGGGTCTTTGAATCTATGAATCTCTGCTAGTCTTACCTGCATAACACGCCATAGAATTTCAGCCAGTAATTCCTTGTCAAACCCAATAACCTATGATTGAACAAGAGCATTTTTTTTTAGAAGACATCCAATCTTGATTTAAAGATTTCACATAATGGAGAAACCACCACTTGGTAAGTTGCTCAAATGCTTTATCATCCTCATTGTTAAAAATGAACTGCTTATTTGCTGTTTGAATTTGGCAAGCTTCAGGTTCCAGTCACGGGATCATGTTATGCCCCTGGCTGCTAAATTAAAGAGCCATCTGATATCTTTTCCCTACAGTAAATAGTTGTGATATCTTTAGTCACCTTTTTATTTCTCTTCAATAATCTAAGTAGGTCAATTTCCTTAAGCCTCTTACTGTAAGGAAGGCTTTCCAAACCTCAGATCCTTGTTGTAGGTCTTCTCTAAATTCTCTACTTTTCAACATTTTTTTTTAAATGTGGGCACCAGAACTGGACACAGAAGTGGTCTCACAAGTGATGTATACAGCGGTAATATAACCTCTCTATTATATTCAGTATAGTCCTGTTTATACTATAATATCCAAAGGATTGCATCCCATAGTTTGCTGAAGCCTCTGCATGGTTGAGGCTCCACGGGCTTAGCGGGCTGCTGGTCTATAGAGGAAGAGTGATAGGATCCAACAACTCTGTATTGATATATTTTCTTGGGGAAATCCTTGCAGCCTTAACTTCTGTTGTGTGGCATTTACCCACTCCAGGATGAGGAAGTTGACAGCCTCATTAGAGGAACCAATGGTGTCTGAGACAGTTATGCTGCAAAGAAGGCATGGGCAGGACAGAGAAGAAGACATGGTAGGGCTGGCTCTTTACCAGGATGTCCCACAATCTACAGAGACTAAAAGCATGGATATTGTAAGGCCATGCCCTCTGTTAAACTCTTTCTTCAGTGCGCACATTCTCAAAACAAGAGATTGTATGAGTTTTCAGCTGCCAGAAGCTTTAGGCTATCCAAATGCGGTACCACAGTATAGTACAGCTTAGCTTAATACTGTTCTGCTTTAATAAAAAAAAGGAACGAACATTGATTACAAAGAGAATTACAATGGGAATGGTATGAAATCTAAGATTTTTGGAAGAGGAATAGCATGATTCCTGGCTATTGACCTCCTCTCCATCCCATGGAATTTATAGGGAGCATTTTAACTGCTAAGCACTTACATTACAGGCCAACTTAACACTCTGTCTTTGTTTCACATCTTCTGGCCTCCCCAAAGCCGTTTTCCTTAATGGTTCTCTCATCTTTCTTGATGACTTGGTTTTGCTTTAGATCATGTTTCAGGAAGCCATTAATCTTTCCATTGTTACATTTAGATATTTGCTATGAGTGATTCTTATAGTTCTAAGCAAACTCTTAAAGATAATGAAGATGGCTCACTGGAGAAATAATTAACTCTGGCCTGGATGTGTATGACATGGCTTCACCAATTTTATGAATAAGCTGAATATCTCAGTCCTCAGTTCTAGGATAAGACTAAAGGATGAAATATAGCAATTACAACATGAAAAATCATAAGTACAGATGGTTCAATAAAATTAGTGACTGTGGTAAAGCAAACTTAGTATCTTTGAACTCTGTGAAAGGTTTCCACATACGAGCAGAATTTGGTCATTTTTATGAGTGATGTGGTACAACCTTTTTATTAAGACTATAATGGATTTGGGAGATTATCTGTGAAGGTTAAAAGTTTCTCTCACAGCTACTCATATATTCTGTCTCTCTACCTCTCTTTCTCACTTCCATATTATTTTTTCTGAAATCACCAATGATGGCTAACTGGTGCACAGTTGGTCAAATATCTTCAAACCAATAGGTATTGTATTTCCTTATTCAGAAGTATCTATTATTTTTCAGTATGGTAAGCCTAACAAGGGTCTCTATTCAGCATTTCTTAGACCTTACTGAATTATGTGGGAGTTTCATCTGCTAAAAGTGCTGAGTAGGCCCGTCTGATGAAACCTTGAGTCATCCTTATTGCCTCCCACGGTCTTGGGGTGGGGGCATTCTTCCTATATCAAGTGGCCAAAACTGAAAACAGTATTACAGATGAAGACTAATGAGAGCATTTTACAGTAACAATACCATTGTCTTTCTTTCCATAGCCAAACTACAGTAATGGTTTCACTGTTTTTTGTTTTCATTTGTTTTTCTACACAAGCACTGTATCAGTCTTTTGGCAAACTTTGATATATGTAAATAATGTGTCGTGCAAATGGTCACCTACCCAATGAAAACGTAAGCATATAGCCCCTACTGTACGTCCTTAAAGATAGGATCAAAATATCTTAAAAATTGCACCATGTTAACTATCCTGGATGGAAAAAAAAACAACCTTAGAGCTTTTTGGCATGTAGAGAGTACTAATTCATTAGATGCACTATGCAAAATATTATATATTTTGAGTTCATGAAGAAATACTATTTATACATTAAATTATTATAGTAGTTTCTCTTCTTTTTTTTTAAACAGGTCATTGCCATAATTATGGATACGTTTACAGATGTGGATATCTTCAGAGAAATTGTAGAGGCATCTACCAGAGGGATTGCTGTGTATATTCTGCTTGATGAGTTCAACTTCAGTCACTTTCTTAAAATGACAGAAAAACAGGGCTTTCAAGTTCAGAGATTCAGGGTAAGGCTTCGTGTTTTACAATAAAATACCTGTTTACTACAATACCTAGCTCTTGTGTAGTGCTCTTCAAGGATATTATTTTTTTAGGAAGTAAATATCTAATATTAATTTATTTTATGTAATTTATTTTATGAAAAAATAATTGCTATCAATAGGCTCAAAGCACAACCTTACCCTATTTTTGTTACCTTCAAAAAATGTTTGTCCTTTTCAGGACTTTGCAAAATAAATACATGCAGTACATTCTATAAAACTACATATTTCTTCTGAGTACTATTATTATTTTAAGAATATTATATTCTGGGAGGACTTAATCAATTTGTTTTTATGTTTGTAAAATCATCCTGCAAAATGTAAGCATAAAGAAAATATAAATTGTTTAGGAAAACAAAATATGGGCTTTCTTTAAAAAAAAAACAGTGATTTTCTTTCAAGAGATTTGATGTTAAAATTATATCAAAAGGCACAGGATTCCATTTTTTCATCGTTTTCCTATGAACTGCTTTACCATATATTTGTCCTTGTGAATATTCAGTATGATTAGATGCACTTTTATTTATGAAATATGTGCCTTTCTCCGGTAAGAAAGATAATATGTAGAGGAATAGAATCTAAATACTCCAGAAGTCATGCTGTATGTCCTTAGTGTACCATTGGGAGCACAGTCCAATACAGTGTACTTCTATTGATCTAACACAAATATGTGGGATGTTCTTCTAGGTCTGTTGTGCCAAGGATAACACTAAAAAATATTGAAGCTGCTCAATGATAGCTCTCCACATTTCCTCTGAGATACTATAAGTAGCTTCCTTCATTGAACTTTAGCACTTATTCATATGCAGTTCTGTGTAAATATACCAAGTGTGTAGTTTTTTATGTTCTCGACTGTGACGAGACTATTTACAGTGTTATACCATCAAGGAGTTAATGCAGACATTTTAAGAGTCCTGGAGGAACTGTGATATCACAGCAGTCATCTTGGATTAATTTCTTTTGAGGAATGACCAGTTGTAGTTACTTCTAAAACTTAATGTTCTATAGGAAGTATTCAAATTTGCTTTTGCAATAGATACCCAAATGTACATAACTGAATTTAAGACCGTGTTTGAAAATTAATGCATAAAACTAACTTAATTAAAGACATTTAGCAAGGTAATGGAAGTCTTCGGCAACATATGTAGTGTTCTAGTTAGCTTTTAAAAAAAATAGAAACCTTTCATAATGGCATTCATATGAAAGGAGCTTGTGACCAGTATCTTTAAGCTAGGGTTACCATATTTTAATTTTTAAAAAGGAAGACACTCCATGGGGCCCTGGCCCCGCCCCAACTCCACCCCAGCCCCGCCCCAACTCTGCCCCCTCCCCTGAACGCTCCTCCCCTGCTCCTCCCCCTCCCCTGCTTCCCGTGAATCAAATGTTCGCGGGAAGCCTGAAACAGGGAGGCAGCAGGTAAGCTGGGACGGAGTGCGGCGCGGCGCAGCTCAGTCCGGCCCCCCTGGCCGAGCAGCTCCCTTTGGCGGCCAGCCGGCCCAGGCCAAGAGGCTCTGGCCCCGGTGTCTCTCGCCCGGCTGGGGCCCCGGCCCCCGGCCCGGCCCCCGGCCAAGCGCCCACGCCCCAGGCCCAGCACTGCGCCGGCCCCGCG